ATATTGGTGATACTCGTTTACTTTTTTTCACTTGATAAACCACGATTAAATTTTCATAAAGAAAATACTAGAATATTAGTTAAATATTTTTAAATAATGTAAGCTTGTCTATACACATTTTGTATAAATCGTACTCTGTTATATACAATTTACTGTTAAAGTAGATTGGCGTTTCATTTAATATCCTAACTTTTTTTTTTACATTTCAAGTCTTAAAATAACAAAATTACTTATTTCATCAAAAGGAATAAATAAACAAACAAAGAACCTACTCGAAAAGATTAAATTTAATACTATTTGAAGATGTTCTTTACGCTTATGTGATGTATACCGAGAAATTTGAAATACAACTTCTGAAAAGAATAAGAAAGTCTGTATTCAATTTTCTATTTAATAAGATACTGCAAACCAGAGATTACGAAATCGGTACACATTTTTAGCTTTCATTATTTAAATAAGAATTTTAAGAAATTGTAAAACCGAATCTTTATTGGTTTCATTTAACAGTTTATAATCTAAAACGTGACAGTTGACATTCTAGTGATTAGTTTCGCTTCATATAGGAACGATGAAAAGTGTAAATATAAATTATTACATACGTCCTATATGATTGATTTTCAACTATGGTTCATTACAGGGTTTAAGGGCTGTTAAAACCAAGTGAAAACAAATCCAGTTAAAAACCTGCAATATTCATAGATTTAAATTTAGAATTAAATAATATGTAAAACGTGCTGATATCTAATAATATTAAAATCTAGTGCTGTAGTGGTTAGAAAAAGAATCATAAAACTATTTCGACTCTAAATATTTTGAAAAATTTGATTACTCGAAAATATGAATGAAACGGATAATCCGAATTTTTAGCTTTATCCATCTTATTCAACAGATTTATAATTTTATATTACTTGGTTTGATAAAAAAAAAATAACAAATAAATAGTCGGTATCAGTCGGTCATAGTGCTCGCACGTTCGTTTTATCGTTCCGTCTTATAGCTAATTATTACTTCGTTTCAATGGTTTCTTGTTCAAGTTGCTCAACCTCAATTAAGCGAAATCATGGCGATTGCATATCGTGTGCAAACTGTAAAAATATTTTTCACCACAATTGTGTTTTGTTAAACCCTGATGATGTTAACTATTTAATTAGTACTAAAAATATAATACTCGATTAAGTTTCGATTAGTAAAAATTCCTCAGTACAAGTTGAAAACGATTTAATATTTGTTCGGTTTGTTATTCCCTTAAATTATGTATGAATGAGTAGTATTTATTGTTTATTTACACTTATTAAATATGAGTATTTAAAGTACATAAAATAATAATACTGCAATAATACTATGTATTTATGTTAAAAAAAATGTCATTTAATTATCCGTTTTTTTACTTCACAGTGGTAATCAAAAATATAATGTAAAAAATAAATTCTTCGAATTATCTTTCTACTTTTTAAATTTTATTAAAACTACAATAACGTTTAAATATTTTTTTTGTACTCTCCAAAACACACTTTGTATCCATAAAAAAGCGAAATAAATGTATTTTGTTTCACATAACAAAAAAAAAAAAAAAAAAAAAAACAACAACAATTACATTACAGTATATATTATAGTATATTTACTCGTATAATGGTTTTCTTAAAAAGTAATACTAGTTTTTTAGCTAAATTTTTGTTTTTGACTTATTACTTTAAATTTAAAATATAATCATTTACTATATTAATTATTTAAAAATATTAATTTTTTAAAATTTTATTAATTTTGAATTAGAAGTAGATATTTTTACATCATCTTATGAAGTGGAACACGTATCTGAAAATAATAATTAATACCGATAATACGTTAGTTGACTCAGCAAAGATGTAAAATGTTTGAATTATTTAAAAATATTAACTAAATATTCGTTTGGTTCGATCTTTGATTTAAGATGTCATAAATCACCTTTGGCAATTGTGAAACTGATTGATATTTTATAAATTATTTTTTTCGAGAAGTTTACATTATCCACGAAATCGATAACAACATGAATTATTAAAAATTGATGCATCAAAATATTATTTCATTATTTTTTAGTATCGATTTCAATAATTGAACACATAAAGTGTATATTTTCAATTGAATTCGAAATGAACAGATGTAAACCAAATCATTAAACAACGGTTTTTGATTTAAATGTTGACACAAAAGAGCCCACGCAAAATCACGTAATGTTGAACTCAATACCAATTACGACGTTTGACATAACCTGTAAGGTTGTTTATTTCACGTACGGATTTTTATTATTATTATTACCATCATCGTCTTATATCAAATTTGCTTGTAACAGAATTCTCGGAAAATCATTACTGTTGCGCCATTTTCAAACATTCCGATGTAGCAGTCGTAGACGTGGCGCGTTCAGAGTCAACCGCAAGTACGGTCTCGCCACCCTAAACCCTCTGTGCGCATATGCACCACCGCCACGTGTCTACAGGGTGGGCAGTAGTGTTTCTACCCCACGAGTCTTATCGCGCGTGGGGGTTGTTGGCAAGAAGATCGTACGGTTCATCCTAGCTTTACGCAATTCATACGGCACAACTACACGGAGAGGTGCACGGCGCACAATGCCACGTGCGAATACCTTACGCTGTTTTTGCCTTTTTGTTTGTAGCGAAAAAAATGTATATTTTATCAACCGTCGCCGATCGATACACTGTAATAATATGTGTGTGTGTATACACTTTACAGTTATATGAATATGTAAAGTTAGTTACGTTCTATGTGCATAGGTAGGGTAGATATTGCGCAGTATGTCCCTGTACAGTTGATGTAGCGCCCGATTCATAAAATAAAACAACGTTTGCGTGTCACGTCCAAATATAGCGATAAAAATATCGTATCAATAGTAATTTCACGTACTAAAACATTGTATCCACTACATATTATGATTTTATCGCCTCGCTGGTTTGTATTTCCTTATAATCGTGCGGAAATCAAATGTTTATCACGTCCAGTGTCCGAGATCACTGAACAGTTCCAAAAGTGTGCCGTGTCTTTTGTACGGTTACCTCTGCGCTTGACATCATGTGTAGGATGACATCTTGTGGCGAGAGAAAATTATCATTTTTCTACTGTCTACTTGCTAATCACTCGTTTTGGCTCTTTTGGATTTGGCACTCGCTGTAAACGTTCTGTACCAGTTATGTAAACTGAGTTCATGTTTCAACTAATTGTAGTCTTGTTATTTTTGTTCGTCTTATATCTGTTCTCATTCTTATTCTCAATCGTCGATTGTTTCATTAGCTTGCGAGTTACGAACTTAACTATATTTATCAATTGAAACTAAATAAATTATTCGAATCAATCATAATAGTTGTCGAATAGAACAATGTGGTAGGTACGGACATATTATTTTTACATTTTACATTGAGTGTACGACAGAATTTGTACTCTTTAAGTATCCACTTTGAATAAGGGTTTCATGCGTTTTGCAATGTGCGCAAATAAATATACTGTAGTGCTGAACAATTGGAAAATCGAACAATTCAGACTTTATCTATGGATAATCTGCAGAACCTCTCGGGAAATCAACTGAACTTTGTATTCTAAACTTTCCGAATGGATTAAATGGATATTGCCGTGTAACTAATGTGATTTATTCGAATTTCGAACTTACTACATTTGGAGCACTAGAAGTAATGAATCGAACTTCGAAGTAATAACCTTTAAAAATAAATTTTTTAAGAAACGTAGGTACACCAGTAAATATGTACTTTTAGGAATAAAAACTGGAAAAAAAATTCATAGCAAATAGTAACTTTGAAATCATTTACGTTTATAATTTTTTACTTCATTAAGTCCTGTTACGATCACCATTTATAACCGTTTGGGCCATTTGTAGGTTTATTTTGGTACCCATCTGACAGGCGGTACCTGTTCCGATGATCTAGAGCAGGGGTGGCCAGCGAGAAAAGACTTGCGAGCCATCAAATATATTAATAAATATGGAAGAGCCAAAATTTAAAAAAAAAAAAAAAGGACATATTATTATATATATGATATTATATTATTGTAAATAAGATAAGTTAAGGTATGGTATTTAATAAAATGTGAAGAATAAGATAACAATAACTGTACAATAATCTCAAATTAAATTTTATCTTCATAAATACCATAAATATCAAAATATCATACAGACATAGACACACATGGATAATGGATATTATGTCTTCATAGTGTTTTTTGACGTCATGCGTGTAACAACACAACATTAATAAAATAATTATTATGTCTAAGAAACGCAAGTATGAAGAAGAACACAGATAATTCAAATTACAATGGGAAGAAGAGTTCTTTTTCATAGAACGAAACTAATTAAAACTAACTAATTTAACTAACTAAAAAAAATTGTTCTTAAAATTGTGAATTACATATGTTCAGGTTCAAAAATACATCGCCAATTTAAAAACTTTGTTGAAAGTTTAGAGGATGATATTCCAAATGATGTTCCGTGGTATTGTTTAGTTCGATGGTTATCAGTAAATAACGTTTTAATAATATTTTTCGATTTATTAGAACCCATTAAAACATTTTTAAAAGAAAAAGATAAAAATTTTCCACAACTTTCAGACCCACAATGGTTAAGAGATATGTCATTTTGTACTGACGTTGTGCATCACTTAGCCACATTAAAAATGTCTCTTCAAGGTAAAAATAAATTTATAAATAACCTAGTACAAGACATTTTTAGTTTCCAAAATAAGCTTAAACTTTTTCAAAGAGACTTAAGAACAAATAATTTAAACCATTTTCCGTATTTAAAAAAAATTGAGGATTATTTGGTTGGAATAGCAACAAAATTGAATTGTGAAGATTATGTACAAAAATTAGAGTTTTTATCAACTCACTTTGAAGATCGATTTTAAGAATTGAAATTACTTAAACCTTCGATTGCATTTCTAGAAAATCCCTTTGTAATTAAAGTTATTGAAAATGGATGTCCATTATTAAAATCAATTTCAATGGATACGGCAGCTTTAGAAATAGAACTCTTGGAATTATTGGAAGATGAAGGACTGAAGCAGTTCAAATACAGTTGTCATTCTTTGTTGGAATTTTGGAAACACGTGACTGTTATTAAATATCCAAAAATTACTCTTTGCGCTCAAAAGTTAATATCGATTTTTGGAACAACATATTCTTGCGAGTCTTTATACTCAACCATGAAAATGATTAAATCTAAACATCGATCAACATTAACGGGTGATCATTTAACTGAATTGTTAAGGACTGTGTTAACAACTTATAGTCCTGATTTTAAAAAGTTTACAAGAAAAATAAACACGCAACAAATAAGAAAATAGTCAATTAAGAAAAATGATATCAAGAATACTTTATTTTTACAAATTTTTTTCTATACACTGTTATTTAATAATTTAATTTAATTTAATAAAGTATTATACTTTTTCAAATACATAAATTCATATAAAAAAAATTTTTTTTTAAATGTTACGATAAGATGCGAGCCGCAAAAGTCTATGACGCGAGCCGTGGTTTGGCCACCTCTGATCTAGAGGTTGAGCTGTGTAGTGGTCTCTCACCCACACCAAAAAATCCGTAGGTTTTATGATTTTGAATTTATATAATAAACATAAAATATAATTGAAATCTGATTATAATAATCTATAAAATATAATGATAAAAATTACAAGGATTTTATATAATTGCATGCAATTGTAAGATAACAAAAATTGCACTCTGCATCATATGCAATGGAAAATATGTTTTGAAAATACACAATTGAAAACAATTTGGAATGATGTATGTTACATTTATTTTACGCGTTCGTCACGCATGTGATGTAACAGAAACGCGTCTCAACACTGATACTAACGTAACGATTAATGTTAACAAATGAAGCGGCTAAAATGCGCACAGTATTCGTGTATATGGTCAAACACGTACGAACGCGCGTACGCAACAATAATAATATAAATAATGGTAGTAATAATAATTAATAATAACAACATCCTATAGTGTGCATAATATAATAAAATCATAATCACGACGAGCCATTCTTATACACGGGTATATATATATAGTAAATAATATAATAAACTGGAACTATATGTATAGAAAAAATAAAAAATAGAAAATAATTTTTTACACAAGAATTAAAAAAGAAAGAAATTTTAATGTTAAAATAAATAGGTATACATCTACACTAGGGTGGTCCTTATTTTTGAATGTAGAAATTTTTGTCGGGATGCTCCTCAATATTTTTAAGAAACCTATAAAAATAATGCCTACGAAGTATAGCCATGATAAGTCAATTCTAAGACGCGGCAAGGGGGTTGAAAATTGCCCACAGGGCCATATTTTGTAATTTCTTAGTTTTTTAAAGTTTATGTTAAAACTACAGCGTTTTGAATAAAAATTAATAGAACCTTAATTGTAGAACATAACAATTTCTTTTTCTATAAAACTATTTTTAACCGAATTATTTCTTCACAAATCGGTATATGAAAATGTATTCATCCGAGTTAAATATACATTTCTTAAACATCTGTAACATTTATTTTAGATAAAAAAATATTTTTCCTTAAAAAGCCGTTACAATATGAAATAATACACTAGTAGCTAATAATTAACACTGTTTACTTAGAATTAAGACATAAAAAGGTACTCGTAGAGAAAAGTCGGATTTATAGTATCAGAATAATTCTGAAATTATTCAAACAACCTAAAAATCAATAATAAATTTGGATTCTGGTCGAATTTTTATACAATTTGAATTTATTAATTATTTTTAATACTATTCAGATTTTATTATAATTTTTACTTTTTTACTGAAAATATTATAAATTCAATTCCAAAGTGACCATTATATTTAATTGGAAATCGCAGTTGAAAATAAAGGACATTGAAGAATTCCAATTAATTCAATTAATTTTAGGTCTCAATGACTGCTGTTGCGAGACACACTACAAACGACAAGTCTATATATACTTGTCGTTTGGAGTTAGTTATAACTCCAATTAATTTAGAAACAAAGTTGTTATTTATTTATTTTTTTATTTAAAAATTATTTTCTTTTAAATTTGCCGCTTGTAATATTAAGAAAGTTTAATCGATTATTTCCAATTTAAGAAAATGAGAGTTAATTATGAATTAAAATTTTTACGATTTTCGTAAAATGAAGATTTATAATAAATTATAAAAATTATTTTTCTGGATAGTAAAATAATAATTGAAAGGAAAAATCAAGTATGGACAAATAATTTGAAAATAGAGTGAAATTTATAAAAAAGATAATTACCGAGAATGAATAACTAATATTAAAGAACATATGATTAGTAATCATATGTTCTTTAATAGGTAACGGATTTAAATGCTCTAAAAAACAGGAAAAATGCCTTAAAAAAATGCTTTAACATCAAAAATGCACTAAAAAAATGCCCTGAAAAATTTTAAAAATGGGTTTATATTCAATAAAAACAAAATTTTGAATTTAAAACTTATAAAAAAACACATAATTATGAAAAATCTAATAAAAAATAAAAAAATATTTAAATACAATACAACCTTAATTAATTAACTTTCAATTATCTTGATATATGTCATACTATCTTCTTTTTACCCTTAAAAATAAAAAAATTAATAGGTATACCATTTAGATAGGCATATTCGTTATACTTTTACCTTTTGTTTCATAGCATTGTACTCGTATAATCAGGTGCTGCTTAATATTGTCAAACAGAAATCTTCGACGGTTATCGGCCAGTATTGTTTTGTATCTCGAGAAACTTCGTTCCACGTCAACTGACGTCATAGGTGCAAACTTCATATGAGCCATATCATCAGCAGTTAGTTTTTCAGATATTGTACTATTTCGAGATGTTGCTTTTCCTTCCAAAATATTTGAAATTTGTGTCTACACGTGTCAACAATAATTTCGTAATTTCGTAACATAATACATATTTAGGTATTTTAATTTTTTTAGAAAGAATGTGGAAAAAATGTTGAAAAAATTACTTAAAAACCACAAAATGCACTAAAAATTTAAAAAAATGCTCTAAAAATGCATTTAAGTCTTTAAAATACAAAAAAAATGCAAAAAAATGCAAAATAAAAGTTACATTTTTTAATTCTTTGATGTATGAAATGAACTGTTTGCTTGGAAACCAATGTTTTCGGACATTCAGAAAAAAATGCAATTTGCATTCAAATCCGTTCCTTAATGATTACCTATAGCACTAACTGAAAATTAAAAAATTTAACACAAATACATACAGATTAAATATAAATATGATACAATTAAATAAATTAAAAACAAAGTTTAATTAAATAGTAGGAAATAGTAAAATATAATAAGTTTAGATGATAGTAGTTTATATGAAAATATTTTAAATTAATTTTAACAATGTTAATAATGTTTATATATTTATGTATACCTATTTATTATTTATATATATTATAATATTTTCTTACATTTTAGGTACCGTACGAATCGAAGAATGTATTGTTATTATTCATTTTTTTTTCAACGATCTTAAAAAATAAAAAAAAATACCAACAATTTTTTAATACATTTTCGATTGGACAAATGTAGGGGAGGAAATCTATTTACTATTGGCTTTACATTTTATCCATCCACTAAATGATCCGCATAATTCCACTCAAAACGAACTGCAATATTGCCTCGATTAAAAAAAATAAAAATAAATATTCAATAACAATCTATGTTTTTATCAATTGGTTTTTGTAATACCTACTCATTTTAATACCAATTTATACTACAACATAGAGGTATTAAATCCTTAAGAATCGATGATTTCCCAAGTCATTGAATCGAATATTAATATAATGAAGACCTACAGAAACAAGAATGTTTTTTAATTAAAGATCATTAAACAATAAACAATGCAAGAATATTTATAAATTATTTTGTAATAATTTGTATTGTTGGTTTTATCCAATATATTCAAATCAGTTTGTCGGTCTCAGTTAAGCTGATGAAGGGCAAAAAGTTTATTTTTTTCAAAAACCTAAGATTATATTATTTTATTTTCTACGTTTTAATAGTTATTTTGTTACAAATCAAATAAGAATGAAAGTGCTTAGGAAAATTGTATCAAAAATTAAAAGTGTAACAACATAGAGAATGGAATATTGCCAGGACAATTTCGTGTAACGTTGTATACATTACAACGAAGCTGAAGCGCGTTCACTGAACTTATATGTGTCATAAAAAGTCAGATTTTAATTTTCTAATTACATTATAAATACTTCCTCTGGATTATATATGTATATGTTAGTTTACACTAAGAATACAAGCAATAGAAAGTATATAATATAAACTCGGCTACACAAGATATGTTAACAATCCAAGTATTATATGTGTAAAAAATAATAATAATAATAATATTATAATAATTTAATATAACATTAAATATTATAATTATATATATATATATATATATTTATATGTTTGTGAGTGAATAAACAACGAACATAATTCATACATTTGTTTCTATATTTTTTAAATTCTAATATTTATAACTATTATTTTAGTTCAACATTTCATCGACCTCTTTTATGTTATACATTCAATACCTAATGTTATAATACAATTGCCAGAAAACTCATTTGAAAACAAAATTAAATTAAAACAATTATGAGAAACGTATTTAACCTACAACTAAAAAATATCCGGGCTTCATTCGAGTAAGTATATTCTATACCAGCGGTTCTCAAACTATAGCTCCGCTGAGCCGCGAGAGAAGTTTAGGGGATTCGTGGGTATATCTGAATTAATTAAATTTAAATATTATTATACTTCTTATTTATCGAGGAAAAACACTGTTATGATTATTTGAACTTTGAACTGCGCAATGAATTTTATGTTTTAGTGACACCCATTTAATTTTCAACTCAAACTTCTGATAAAATTTGTTTATTTCAACCTCATTACTTGGCTGGTGTTTTTTCATAAAATTTAATGAAGTACAGTTATCAATACAAAAGTAAAATTGCCACAGTTTTCACAGCAAATGGAACTTTAAAAAAAAAAATTAATTTGGACTATGTGTTTTTCTCAATATAAAATATTGATAGTTTTTGTTGTCTCAAATATAATATTCCTGAATTTCGGAGCTCCGTAAATTTTTTTTGAAATATAAGGGTTCCGCGAACAAAAAAATGTGAGACCCACTGTTCTTTATTAATAGATAACAACAATTGAAACAATCGTACGAATTCGAGTTATTCGCGGCAGCCAATGAAATTTTTAACTCCAAGACTTCGAGCTTTAACAATTTTCAGTATTTTAGTCTGGTTTCTTCTTAGTATATAAAAGTTGTTT